GAGATGTGCAAAATGTGCAGAGATGTGCTAAATGGGCACCGAGATCTGCAAACGGGCACCGAGATCTGCACATGTGCACTGAGATCTCCAAGTAGAAATTTTACACATTTGCAGATTGTTGAACAGAAAATCAAATCTCACACATTTCCAGAATGATTTACACATTTTAAAATCCCGTTGTACGCACACACAAATCGAGATACAGACACAAAACTCTACACACACGTGCAAATAATTTTGCAACGGTATTGCTCCCATACATACTCGCCATGTCGATGTGTGCCAGCATGTTTCAGCTTACATCAGCGAGCTCATAACTTATCAAACGTATGCCAGCACTGTTGCCAGATTTATCGTTGGTCAGTCACACACTGGTCTAAATCATCAAGGTATAACCGGGGCTTGAAGTTTCATCAACCATATGGGGCTTTGTTTAAAAATCCATATTTCTCTTCTAAAAAAAAAAAGCAGTGATTAATTGCTTTGCAGCTTTTGCATGATTTCCACTTTTTTTCTTTTTAATAGTTTTTCTTTAGCGACACCCTTCAGGGTGGAAGGCCTCCTTACATCAACCTGATCTTTAGCTTCCGGGTCAGATTAGTATCACATTCAAACAGGCACTCTCAGTGGGCAAAACCCAAAATGTCAATATTTCTACTAGTCATTCCAAAAAAACAAAAAAAAAAACAATCCAGTGGACTTTGTTTCCAAGTTTGAAGACGTTTCTCTTCCATCCAAGAAGCTTTTTCAATACAAAATATCAGAAATAGCGTTTAGTTTCAGGCTTTATACAGAAGCCCAACAAAGCCTGTTTTTTTGTTTAGAAAACATGCAAATAGAAACAGACGAACAGGTCCAGCCCTTTGGAATGGGGGTCGTTTAGGCTATTGCATAAAGCCTCGAACTCAAGGCTGACATTTTGAATGGAGTCCTTACAAATGGGAGTGTTTTTCATGAATTTCTTCTAGAAGCACTTTTGTTATTTTTCTAAATATATTCGGGCAAGTTGGCATTTCTTGTTATTACATTGACATTAAGTTTTGTCACCAAAATATCCATAACCTTTATATCCTTTAAGCACTTTAATGGTATTGTTTTATTGTTTTGTTGAATTTCTGAATTTCTCTAAATCAGAGGCCATGGATCAGCAAACCATCTGCTGGTTAATCCAGATCCAACCTGATTTAAAACATTTAAAATTACTGCATGTTGTCCGAAGGCAGTGTCTAATTTCCCTTGCGCCTCT